TCCCCTCCCTCCTTCTCTCCCCTCCCTCCCTCCCTCTTTCTAGCTGCTGGTTCCGCAGAGGACTCCTGGTTTGATTCCCCACCTCGCCTCTCCTCAGCAGAGGGGCCTGCTTTCCTGTGTTCTGCAGCATCCTTCCTGCTGCCCTCAGCCCCCTCTCTCCTCCCTCCAGGCACATTTGACTTGATTGCTGGAACCTTGAACTCACCTTGGGCCGAATTCAAAGCCATCCTGGGCTGCCTGCCGCCTGCAGGCCATGGATTGGGCAAGCTTGTTCTAGAGTGCTGTCAAGAATGAGAGGGTCATTTCCAACTCGAGGGTGACAGATCCTCTCTGTAACCTGAGTCCCGAGCTGGGGAGGTGGAGAGGTAACACCATGTCTCCATGAAACTGACCAGGAGTGAAAATCATTTCTTTCTGAAAGGTACGCTACACATTCATCCTTTTAAAAGCAGTGATAAAACATGGAAAGGGTCTAAAAGTGTTGCATCTCTCCCCGTCCCTGACCCTAGCCTCCCAGTTCCTCTTCCAGGAGGCAGCAATTGGTACGAGCTTCCTACATAGCTTTCCAGATACTCCGTGCGGAGAAAAACGTGTCGGTCCATATGTCTCCTTTGGAAAATATAGCACCATAGACAGGCTGCTCTATACCTTGCTTTTGACTTAAAACATAGTTTAAAAATATATCTTAGAGATGGTTCAGTATCACAACATGAGTTTGATCTATCTCTAGCTGAGTGGTAAAGATGATGTCTCTGGGACCCCTGTCTGAGCTTGAACTGGGTTCCCTCTCTTCCTGGCTGGTGACCCTGAGGAAATTACCTAACCAATCTGTGCTTCGGTTTCCTCGTTAAAAATACTACTATGTATTTTTTTGAGGTCATTGTGAGGATTCAAGGACATAAACATTCTGCACAGGGCCTGGCACATGGCACATGCTCAATAAACGTTGGTTATTAGGATCCCACCTCGTTTACTTTAATTTTGTTTTTTTTTGAGATGGAGCCTGGCTCTTGTTGCCCAGGCTGGAGTGCAATGGTGTGATCTTGTCTCACTGCAACTTTCACCTCCCCAGCTCAAGTGATTCTCCTGCCTCAACCTCCCAAGTAGCTGGTATTACAGACACCTGCCATCATGCCCGGCTAATTTTTGTATTTTTAGTAGAGATAGGGTTTCACCATGTTGGCCAGGCTGGTCTCAAACTCCTGATCTCAGGTGATCTGCCTGCCTCAGCCTCCCAAAGTGCTGGGATTACAGGTGTGAGCCACCACGCCCAGCCGTTGCCTGGCTGTTTACTTTAAATTTTAAAAATCACAAATTAAACCGGAAATATGGTGCCCTGTAGTGATAGTTTCACACGTGAGCTCTGGAGGCCATCCTATATACTGGCTTCACCACTTGCCAGCTGTGTGTCTTTGAACAAGTCATTTTTCAACCTCTCTGGGGCTCTGCCTAACCCATCTATGAAATAGGGATCATGAGTCTAATCACTTGTAAGGTTGTTGGCAGGTCAGATGAGGTAATAGATACAAAGACACTTGGAGCAGTGCCTGGCATGTGAGGAAGATGACGGCGGTATTAGAAATAACAGCAGTTAAATCCTGCAAGCCCTCACCACGGGCCAGGCATGGGATGCATATGAGCTCGCTTGGGCCTCCGGTAACCTGTTCCAACTTTCCTCCAACTCTATCAAGCTCTCCCACGTACCTGAGACTGTTCAGTGTTCCATGCTTCTCCATGACGGAGCTACTGTGTTATCTCCATTTTAGAGAAAAAGAAACTGAGGCTCAGAGACGTTAAGTAATGGCATAAGGTCACACATGCTCATAAAAGTCCAATGTATTGTGTGTCTTATTCCAGATCTGTAGATTATGTCTTGTGCACTCACTGGGGCTTACAAGAGGGCCTACTTCTGTACTGTCTCCTTCCCCCGTCCCGTTCCCTGTCCTCCTTTCCCAGATTCCCCCTTCCCCCTGTACCCTTCCTTCTCTCCTCTTCCTCATCTCTTCCCCTCTTCCTCATATCTTCCCCCTCCTCCTTCCTTCCATTTCCTCATCTTCTTTCTCCCTCTCCTCTTCTGCTGTGTTGCTGCCTTCTCTCATTGCTTCTATCCACCACCCCTTGGCCAGAGTCCAGACTCAAGGGCTGATATCTGGTTGCCTTCTGGGGGTCACAGACAGTCATACAAGAGCTGCCACCCTTCCCCTCAAAGGGCTTCCCTACCCCAGGCCCTGCCAGCCCAGCCCAGCAGGGTGGTGTTTGTGTGTTTGTGGGTCAACCTGCATCTATGTCAGCTTGTGTGAGAGTTGTGTGTCTGTGGCTGTGCCCAGTTCCTCTATGGGTGTTCACCTGCATGGTTGTGTGTGTGGTTTTTTGTGTGTGTGTGGTTGTGTGTGTGTGTGTATCAGGTCCTGAAGTCCTGACCTGCCTCAACAACTTTCAACACCAGTGTCCCACCCTGACCACCCCAGTTAGGGCTGACCAGCCGGGTCCTGGCCCTGAGGAAACTGGGCTCAGTCTCAACCCTCAGGCTGGAATCACGCAGACCTGTTTCTCACTGGTTCGGTTGCTTCTTGAAGATTTCTAAGCTTGTTGGGTTTATCCAGCAGTGGGCTGGTAACTGCTGAACAGGACCCTTGCAGGGGTCTTGGAGAGAGGGCGTGTAGGAGGGTATGTGGCTTGTGACCTTGCAAGGATCCAGATGTAGGGAACAAACCACGGTGCTGTGGTCCCGGAGGCCTCTGTCTGATCCGACCCACGGTCCATGCCCAGCTGCGACATGGACACCTACGCTCCCCCACCATCCAGGAAAACCCGGACCCTAAGCTGGGCAAATTCTTCCTGTGGGGATCAGGGCCAGCGAGCCAGCCTGGGCAGCGTGTGGGATGGGTGTGAATGCTCAGGGTCAGCCCTGCAGAGCCCGGAACAAATACCCTGATCTTTCTGGAGCATTTCCTGATGGGGTTTACAAGGAATGTCTGCTGGGAGGTGGGTGAGGGTCCTGGGAGTCTGCTGTTCCCGGGTCTGAGCCGTCACTGCTGGCCTCTCTGGTGGCGGCCGCCAGGGCAGTTCCTGGCCGGCCCACTGCAAGCACATCTGGATGCAATTGTCTGCAGCTGCCGGGCGAGGCGTAGGCTGCGGTCAGGGCTGGATGCTACACTTAGGGAGACCTCACGGGGTTGGGGGGCGGTCTGATTGCTTAGAGACTGAGCCGCCTACTCAGAGCAGGGAAGGAAGACCAAGGAGAAAGGAAAGAAAGGAAGATGGATGGGGTGGTGTGATGGGGAGCCAGGAATGTCTTTTTGTTCTGAAAAACCTTCCGGCTTTTCCCAACAAATCACAAAATCCAAATGGGGAAGCTGTTTTAACTCTAGTCACACCCATGTCTAAATCAAGCAAACATACCACACACACATGTTTTTGTTTCTAAACTCATCAAAGGAACTTCAGGCTTGTACAGGGTCCTAAAAATACATACCAAAAACTGCTTGTGTTCCAGCCTCTCCCCTGCTTTAAAAAATTTTTTTTGGGTTTTGTTTTCACGACTGAAAAATTTCCGGCAATTTTTGACATCCTTTGCTCTGACCTCAAGCAGCAACAGGCTTTATCTGACAGTGTCAGAGTGTTCAAATTCACCGAAGGGTGGGGGCTTCAGCAGGGAAGAGGGCAGGGGGTCTTCAGGGTGAAATGGATTGTTCTCTGGTCACAGAGGATGGCAAAACCATCTGATTCCACCCCTTCTTGTTTTTCTTTCTCTCTCTCTTTCTGTCTCCCTCTCTCTTTTTTTTTTTTTTGAGACAGAGTCATTCTCTGTTGTCTGGGCTGGAGTGCAGTGGTGGGATCTCGGCTCACTGCAACCGCTGCCTCCCGGGTTCAAGGGATTCTCCTGCCTCAGCCTCCTAAGTAGCTGGGGTTACAGGCACCTGCCACCACACCTGGCTAATTTTTGTATTTCTAGTAGAGACGGGGTTTCATCATGTTGGCCAGGATAGTCTCAAATTCCTGACCTCTAGGGATCCGCACGCCTCAGCCTTCCTAAGTGCTGGGATTAAAGGTGTGAGTCACTGCACCCAGCCCCACGTCATTTTATAGCTGCAGAAAATTAGTCCAGATAGGACTGGTGACCTGCCTAAAGATACTCAACCAAGATTCACCCCGAAGTAACCCAGTGCAGAGGGCTCTGGGCTTAGCTGTGTCCAGTAGGTTGTGTTACATCCTCTGCAACTTACTTCCACATAAGAAACATGTCTGATTTGTGATGGACCCACATCCCTGAGCAACGTGGAGGCACTACCATGGGAGGTACCTTGTGGGGCTGCTGGAGAGCAGGTCTGGCTCAGCACTCCAGGACACGGTCTCCCAATTCCCTTTCCTGCTGTGTTGTTGGGGATAACTCACCTGGCCCCCAGTTCCCCAGTTGGAAATAATAACAGTAGCAGTAATGATATTAACATTTGTCATTCAATGAGCACTTACTATTGTTCACTTCTCCCATTTCATCCCAGCTGACCTCACAACACTTTCAGGTGGGTACGGTTATTGGCTTGACTCTGTAGACGAAGCAACTGAGGCTCAGGCAGGTTAAATGGCTTGTCTAGGTTAGGGAGGCTGTGGTTGAACCCAGGCTTCCACCCTCCTCACAGACTGCTGTGCCCTCTGCCCCACAGGCTTGAGGTGAAGGCTCATGGAGACCTTGGATGGACAAGATGGAAAGGCCCGCTCTCCCTGTTCCAACATCGGAGCCTGATAGTGATAGGGGTGCAGATGACCCTAGGTAGAAATTCCCTTTTTTCATGCTTCCTCCAGCAGGCCTCCCTTCTCCCCTGGAGTCCCACAGCCTCTTCAGCTGGCCTGGCCCCTAATGCTTTCTGCAGCCATCAGAGTTCTGCAGCCTTGCAGTGTGGGTGCTTTTGCGCCCAATCAGGAAGCCATGAGACCCACCGGCAGTCTTATCCCGTGTTCTGCCATCCCCTACCATGGCCTGGACTGCCAGCCACTCGTGTCTCTGCCAAGGCAAAATTAGAATGTGCAGCTTCTGCAGAGAGGGCGGATTTAACCAAGCCTCCCGCTGGCTGTCCTGCCCAGGGCCTTCCAAGTGGCTGACAGGAGGTCGAGGAGAGAGAACCCATGGCCGGTGTCCATGACATTCCGGACGACAAGGACATCGTCTCTGGGCTGGCTGCTTGCTCCCCCATACTGGGAGTAGCTGGAGGCCGGCAGGCACCATGCTGTCCTCCAGGCTGGCTCAGAGTGAGTGCTTCATAAATGTCATTGACTGAGTGGGGGACTTCAGGAACACTTCCCTGGACAGGGGGCTTTGTGGGAGCTGTGAGGATTGCTCTGTCCCCATGAATGGGGACTGCTTCCTGCTGGTGACAGCTGGCAGTTTTCTGGTTTATTATGCTAGGTTTTTCAAAACACTTCCCCTCCCTGGGCTGGCCATTTATCTATTATAGATAAGATAAGGGGAGTCTAGTTGGAGAAGGTTATGTGACAGTAATTGGAGGGAGCTCAGCCCCTCCACGGAGCAGCCGGGTGATTTCTGCAGTGTATTTTGTTCGGTGGCACTTGATGGAACAGCAGTTGGAGAGATTTGCAGGTTTGCTTTCTGCGTGGCAGGGTAGAGTGGCCCATGGGGTGGGATTCTGGGCTTTGGTTGTGGCGAGAAGGTGACGCTTGTGGGTGGAATGCTGGGGGGGCTGGTGGGGGTGGGTCCCCTCTGCCCAGCAGATCCCAGGCCACTGGCTTCTCCGCTGGCACCCCTTGAGGCCCAGCTCCAGAGTGCTGGGCAGGGCTCGGCTGGGCATATGGCGTTGGCAGTGAACTTGGACTGGGCTGCATTCTGGCTCCGGGTTCCTTACTCTGTTTATGACGGGAAGCATAGAGGCGGGGCCCTCCCACCACTGTCCTAGGACTGCAGACTCGTGTCCCACTCCCTGATTCCACTACCACCAAGTCTCTTCCTCTCCAGCATGGCGGGAAGCCGAGCAGTCTGGCCTGGTTCCACAAAGCGTCTTATCAGGAATCTGGGGACATCGTGGACTTAGGCAGGCATGGGAAAGGGGCCTGGGGCTTAAGTGTTCCATACCAGAGGCTAAAGAAGTCTGGAGCCCCTTGAAGGAAGTCCCAGCTAACAGACACCCAGTTTTTAGCTATTTCTCCTTTAATGAGATGCGCATTCACCAGGCAAATGTTTGCACGAAAGGCATTGAAGCAAGAAACTAGGCGTGTGCAGGATATTTAGGTTTGCCCTTCCAGATCATTCTCCACGCTGCTGTGTACTGGGAGCGACAGGCCTTTGCACCACCTGGCTCTCTCTTCCTCTGGCCTCTGGGTCAGTTTCACTGGGGGGAGGTGGCAGCAGGAGGCTTCTTCCCTTCCCCTTCATGCTGCACTGTGGGTTAAAGTGGCTCCTGAGACAGCTCCAGCTCCCTCCAAGGTCCCTATCCCTGCCGTCTCTGGAGGCCAAGGGGTCAAAACTGCTTTTGGCTGTTGGAGCTCCCCCTCCCTTGTGGGTTTGCCTTAAGCCTTCTGTAAACACTCTTCAGTGGGTTGAACAGTGGCCTCCAGAACAGATGTCCACATTCTAAGCCCCAGAACCTGTGAATGTGACCTTATTTGGACAAAGAATCTTTGCAGTTGTGATTAAGTTTAGAGATCTGAAGATGAGATCATCCTGGATTATCTAGGTGGGTACTAAGTTACATGATGAGTGTCGGATAAGAGGCAGATGAGGAGAAGACGCAGAGACACAGGGGAGGCCACCACGTGAAGATGGAGGCAGAGATTGGAGGGATGCAGCCACGAGCCAGGAATGCCTGGAGCCGCCAGAAGCTGGAAGAGGCGAAGAGGGATTCTCCCCTTGGGGACTTCCGGGAGATCAGAGTCCTGCCCTGAACCTAGATTTTGGACATCTGGAAGTGTTCAGAGGGGAGGAGTGGGTCTTACCTTTATGAGCATCTACGGTGTGTGAGCGGTGTGCTAGGCCCTTGGTGAACAGCAAGTCATTAAATCCTCTTAAAATCCTGTGAGGTGGAACTGGCATTGTTCCCATTCAAAAGATGAGAAAACAGACGCTCCCAGAGCTTAAGAAACTTGTTCATGGCCACCCAGCTAGTAGGTAGGTGCCAGAGCTGGGATCTGGGCTCAGACCCTTCTGCTGCTGCCTGCTGACCCCTTTCAGAGGTCAAGGCTGTCCTCTTAGTGCTCCAAGGACTGATCACTGATCATTTATTTTAAGTTTAATTAAGCAACTACCTCACATGAGAACACATAGCTGCAGAGTTCTGTCTTGTTGGTAGAGAGGTCTTGCATGGTTTGACTTGAAATCTTAGCTCCTGTGCACACGCAGAATTCCCATGGGTGAGTCCTGAGAGCAAGTGTCTCAAAGAGACCGACAGTTAACCCCAGGGTTGCTGATACGGGACACCGAACCAGGTCTTTCATGAGCAAGTCTCAGAACTGGATTGCAAATGCTCAGCCCTTTAAAAGCCAGCCAGATGCAGCATGAAATCCAGTCCCCATGTGTTCTCCTTTCCCTCCTCCCTTATGTCCACATCTTTTCTAGAATCTTCTATCCATCCCCTGTCCTAATCTCTGGACTTGAGTACGTCTCCATGTCATCCCTCCGCTCTGTGCAGAGAGCAGGGCAAGGACCTTTATCCTTACACTACAGAAGGAAACCAAGGACCTCGGGGTCATCCTGGGGCATCCTTGCCCGTGGTGGCAGATAAGGGTGGTGCAGCTCTTCCTGGCCTAGGTGCTCACGGCTCCTGCATGCCTTCTTCCTCCTGTAGGAGGTGAGACTCTGTCATGCTAGAGAAATGCTCAGAGACACAGCGTCAGGCCAGGGCCGGGGAGCCTGGAGACCCATTTGGGGAGAGCAGGACACATGTAAGGTCAAGTGACTAATTCCGCGATTTCTCCAAGATCAGATGCACATTCCATGGAAAGAGACGTGCTCGACGGCAGCATCAGAAAGGAATTGATGTGCAGGGAGCCAGGATTAGATGATGTTAAGCTGAGGATTTCATAGTCTGTTTTTCTTCTATGAGAGTCAACAAGAGGCCAGGGTTATTTCATCTTCCTGAATAAACAAGCAGGTGGGTTGCAGAACAGTAGGCACGGCCCAACTGTGAGTGTGTGTATGTGTGCTTGTGTGGGGGAAGGTGTGTGCTCACATGTAGGTGTATGTGCATGTATGAATGTCTGTGTAGAGGTATGTGCAAATGTGTGAACACTTATGCTTGTGTTGTGTGCGTATGTGCCCATGCATGTGTGTATGTGTGCATGTGGGTGAGTGGCTTTGGGTGTGTGGATGCACATGTGTGTTTTTATGGATGTACATGTGTGTGTGCACCTGTGTATCTCAGTGAGTCTATGTATGAGCATACCTGTGTAAGTGTGTGTATTTGTGTGTAGGTGTAAATATGCATGGGAAAGGGTGTATATATGTGTGTATATAAATGTGTATGTTTGTGTGTATGTGCAGGAAAGAGAGAGAGAATGAAGCTTGGATCCAGGTTCAAGAGTCTTAAATGCTTGAGGTGATGGATACCCCATTTACCCTGATGTGATTATTATGGGTTGTATGCCTGTATCAAAATATCTCATGTAACTTATAAATATATACACCTACTATGTACCCACAGGAATTAGAAATAAAAAAAATCAACAAAAAAGACTGTTAGAGGCTGGGTGCAGCAGCTCATGCCTGTAATCCTAGATGGTACTTTGGGAGGCTGAGGTGGGCAGATTGCTTGAGGTCAGGAATTTGAGGCCAGCCTGGCCAACATGGTGAAACCCCATCTCTACTAAAAATACAAAAATCAGCCAGGCGTGGTGGTGCATGCCTGTAATCCCAGCTATTTGGGAGGCTGAGCAGGAAAATCACTTAAACCTGGGAGGTGGAGGTTGCAGTGAGCTGAAATGATGCCACTGCACTCCAGCCTGGGTGACAGAGCAAGACTCCATCTCAAAAAAAAAAAAAAGACTGTTAGAAAACATGCTATAGTCCTTAGAGACACATGGGGTCTCCAGAAGAGCCATAGAATGGCGTTGATGAACCCCCGGGCCCATGCCCTGACCATGAGTGGATGGCTGTGGAGTTCACCTTGTGAACGCCCCACCCTCTCATCTCTGCTCTCACAGTCATGGTGTAGGGCTCTTGGGGCCAGTGTGGATGGACAGCCTTTGAGTTCCTCAGGTCCTGGATGCAAATTCTAGCTCTTCCTTCTCCCTGTGGGGCCTTGGGGCAAATTAGCATCCTCCCCAAACTTCTGTTTCCTGCCCTGTGAAATGAGGAAATGAGAACCCCCCCCATAGGTTTTTGGGAGACCCGGAGGAGACCTGGGTAGGAGAATGCTCTGGGCCTCCAGCACTGGGGGCTTCCACCCCTCCTTCCCTGCTCTAGCTGGGGTGGGGCGGCTGCTTCTGGGCTCTAGGGCTGCCCGTGGAGGTTGGGCTCTGTAGAATGTCAGTGTGAAGACATCTGGGGAGCACATCCACTATTCTACTTAAACAGGCTATGGCCTGGACCCCATGGGACCCATGAATTTCACACAAAGTGTACTTCTACCTGGACAGGCTGTTAGAAACAGAACCTTCTTCAAACACCCATCTTGATATGGGTCCTGGGGATGGGTGGCTGTTGAGAGCTCTGTCAGGGCTGAGACTGTCTCACAGGCCATGCAAAGCTGCTTAGTGACCCTCTACTCGGGCAGGGGCCAAAGCAAGGACTTTGGAGCCAGGAAACCAGGTTCAGCTCTTGGCTTGGCCACTTCCTAGCTGTGTGACCTAGGGCAAACTGCTTGACCTGTCTGGGCCTGGGTTCCTCACCTGAGAATACTCACTGCCATGCTGACCTGTCTGGCTCAGGGGAAGCTGCTTCAGAGAGAGCTACAAGGACTCTGTATGCATCTCCTAGGGCTGCTGTGGCTTAAAACAGCACCAACTTCTTATCTCACAGATCTGGAGATTCAGAAGTCCGACATGGGCCTCCCCAGCCTAAAATTGCGTCAGTCGGCTGCGTTCCTTTCTGGAAGCTCCGGGGAGCACTGGTTTTGTGGTTTTTCCACTTGCTGCAGGCAGTCCAAGCTCCTTGGCTTTGGATCCCTTTGCTTTTCAAAGTGCATCACTACCACCTCTGGTTCCTCCATCACATCTCCTTTTCTCATGCTGGCCTTCCTGCCTTATTCTAAAGGCGCTTGTGATCCCATGAGACCCACATGGACAATCCCAGATAATCTCTC